TTACAATATAACAGTATGACAGCATAGTAGCATAACAGTATGACGATATAACACATAGACGTTTAACAGTATAACACTGGAATAGTATAACATTCCGAGAAATGGCAGTACACCATTTTAACAGTATAGCCGTGTAACGGTTTAACTGTATAGCTGTATAAAAGTATTACAGTATTCATGTAACAGTATAATACTAAACAGCATAACGTAATAATTATTCGTATAACAGGAATAATGTATAACCGGATAATGGGATATCAAAGACAGCATAATAATGCAATAGTATAATGGTTTAGTACTAAAGAAATAAACAAGCTTTAATAAATCCCAATATAACAGTATAACAGCTTGGCAGTATAACAGCTTAGCAGTATAATAGTTAGGCAGTATAACTGTATTGTATTGGTTAATAGAAAATAAATAAACACTGTATAACAGTTAAAGGGTATAACAGTTTGACAGTTTAACTGTATAATAGTTCAATAGTAAAGAAATAAACAAGCTTACTTGTATAACAGTGTAACAGTGTCTACAAAAGTTTGACAGTATAACAGTTTGCCAGTATAGCAATATAACAGCTTGTAAGCATAATAGCACAAAAGTGTAAGAGCTCAACAGTATAACAGTAGTCCTACTCATACTTCTAATATTCAACAACTAGCAGAGCTCGTTCGGAATAAAATTAACCAAGCCCTTTCCCCACACACCCCCTTCCTTGCGAACATTTTTTACTATGCACTTGACAATATCACAGCCCTGAGGCTCACTTAGATTGTGTTTTACCGTCACTTTTTCCACACAACTTTTGCTTTGTATGTACATAGATAACATACGTTTGGCGCAATATTTACTCTTTGTTTGTTTGTTTGTTTGTTTAATATGCACCGCCCTTCAAATTTAACTTGCACAGTTGTGACGAACGACTTGTAAGTCCCGGCTCGTCCGTAGTATGAGTAACTGGCAGCGAGTCCGTGGTAATATTTTGCCAAGCAATTTACAAGCAAACTGCCACATGACTGCCACAATTCCTCAGTTTCTGACACCCTAGCGCGTCGGTTTGCCTGCCTTTTATCGCTTACTTTTCACGCAACACCCAAAAACATACTAGGACTACACATACAGCCGCAGCAAATAACCACACATCATTTTGCGAAGTCGGTTATGGTGTGCCATAAAAAATGTTTGAACAGTTGTGAAGGGTTCTATCACAGCAATTGGCTGTTGATGGAAAGACGGAAAGAAGTAAAGTAGCAAGACAATGGAATTGAACGCACAAACCATGGTAAGAAAGAAAGGGCTGACAGAAAAGAGATAGGCATGCGGTTGAATGACTGACTGGTTGGCAGGCATTCGCATACAAGCTGCCAAGCCAGGGAAAGATCGCTTGCTCGTTGCTCAACATCGTCATTATAAAATGTAAGCTGATATGAGGAAAATTTCTTCCTTCCGATAAACGGTCATATAAATTTTCATAGACACATAATATTTGAAAGTGAAGCGATGTGTGTATGTGTAGGTATATGTGCCTGCGTGTTAGTTACATGACTTTTTCATACCGTAAATTTCACCTACAAATGGCTGCCAAATGCTCAATGTACGTCCAACAAGTTGGTTATGGCAAATGTATGATAATGACGACTTTTTTGCGGTCAGACCGCAGAGACTGATTGCATTGCAGCGCAAGCGAACACAAACCCACGTGTGCACATACATAAATGCTGTATACAAATGTGAATATGAGTGATTTTTTTTTTAACAAATGTATGCCTGCGTATGTGTACGTGTCGCCGTTATGGAGGCCATAGCGCTTCTGGGTGTTTATGTAATATTTACATAATAAAAAGGAAAGTTAAACATTTTGCGCATAAAAGCAAGAAAAGAATAAATGATTGCGTTGGGACAGCAGAGTCGAGCGTGCACATACATATGTATGTACATACATGTAATGAACAAAAATAGCAGCAACAAGAATTTCAGGGCAGCTTTAAGGCAAGCTTAAGGAGCTTGACTTGACGCAACCGCACACAAGCCTTGCCTTGCTTACATATGTATGGCAACAGACCGACAGCCGGACGTACGAACATACAGACTGGCAGGAAGTTATACAGGCCGGAAGGATGCCATCAGTTTAAAATCTCCATTTTACGCACATACTTACTCATAAAAGATTAATATTTTCGCAGCGCTTAAGGGTCGCCCAAACGTTTGGCCAAAAACCATTCAACTTAGCTCTCTCAATCCCCCATACTTTACTCAATTCCTACGCGAAAAAAGGTTATTTGCATAGCAATTTGTATGCATTCTTCCTTTACTTTAAACATTGCCTTAATGGAAAATACGCATAAAAAAGAAAAAGGCATGAATTCGAAAACCGAAGAAACAAAATGCTGAAAATTTATATTACGTATACGCCGTGGCGTTTGAATATGAACAGCGCAGGCGCCATATGTTTTTGCATTTATTTAAAGCTCGCTATGGCAGCATGATATTTAAAGCCGGAGATTGTTCAACGCCGGTAAAGTTTTACAAAGTGTATTAGCGGGTAAATGGAAAAATTGATTTAAGAAAAAATTAAAAGTGTGTTTCGACTCTTTGTTATGTATATTAAATTACTAGTACTAGTTGAAGATCCGTGATTCCAATAATTCAAGTGTTTATAAAAAAAGTGTGCCTTTTTAAAAAAATAACAACATTATGATCCGATTCGGCTGGCCGCTACGACTTTGGGAACAGAATTTGTTCGAAATTTTCATTCCTAGAAAATAGCAATTTATTTGGCAAATCCATCTTTTTAGTTCGCTAAAGGCACACATTTTTCAAACCAGTCGCTGAAGAAAGGATTAAAAATTATTTACAAAAACTAAAATCGAAAAACGCTGCTGTCTTTTGAAAAAGCTTTAGCAAAACCTGACATACCTGGTTTGGCTTGTAAGCGGTGTTTAAATGACATCTTGCCATGATGCTAGATTCTTCAAGCGAAAATAAAAGTCAGGAGGCTACATCCGACATATTTAGCCCCACTGCAATTCTCTAAAAGGAATTATTCTTGCACTGCAAACAAAAAAAATATATATAACTAAGAGTCCGCTCAACTGGTGCAGCGTCAATCAAAAATTAATTAAAAATGTGTTATCAAGTTTCATACGCAGATATTTGTTACCTGGAGCGAGCAGTTATTTAGTGGCGCAGGTTTGATTCAATAATAATAGATTGGCGCGTACACATATTTTAGTGTTTGGCCGAGCTTCTCCTCCGACTTGTGGCGTGCGCCGACTCCCAACGACGGTTGTATTTTTATGAGAAGCTGTTTTTCATGGCACAAATACACTCGGAGGCTTGCCATTGCCTGCCGAGGGGCGAGCGCTGTTAAGAAAAACCCTTTTTCTATATTCTTTGCGATGTTGCTTGAACCCAGTTACTGATGAGTGAATGCGCGCACTGCTTACCACTACATCGCAGCGGCCGACTTGATTTACGACCGTTTAAAAAACAGGCTGCAGCATGGAAAGGCAATGTTCCAATTTTTAAATTCAAATACATACTTAATAAAGTATATATTTTTAAAAATTACTAACTATTTAATTTTTTTAATTACCTAAATCGCCTAATTTACTTACCTTAATTAAGTTTTTTGTAAAAATACTTTACATCCGCATTCGCCTCCGCATTCGCTGATGTTAGAATTTAATCTTTCGTATCCGCATTTGCATCCGGGGATATCTAAAATTCCATATTCGCAACATCCCTAACATGTATGTACATGCAAAAAAATTCTCATTCAAGTTGGTAAGACAAAAATTTGTATTTCGAAAAAAACCTGGTAACTATTATCTAAAATATTTTCCTTCTTTTTGTATCTATGAATAGTAATATGGTATCTTTATTTTATAAACAAAAATTTAGATAAAAAAACGTTTCAAAATAGGTGGCAACTCTGTTCAAAAATATTTCTGTTTGCAGATCTCAAGAAAAATCACAAGAAATATTTTTCATTATTTCTGTTGGCTGAAATATGACTTTGATTTTGCTGGCTTGCTGCCCAATACCTTATAAGAACAAAAATAGTGTTGCTAAGAAAAAACGGTTTGTAATGTAAAAATTATTAGTTTAGGTTAGGACTGAAGAGCAGAACCTTGCTTACTCACAGGCCAAGAATAATAGCGCCGAAATAACATTTGGGTTAAGGACTGATCTCCTTCGATGCTATGAACTTTTATTCAGGTCCTCATCGATACTCGATATTCTTATTCTGGTGCTACCGAACTATTCAAAGTGCAACCGATACTCAAATTGTTGTCTAGAGCCACCGAGGAACCCAAAAGTGCTTCTCTGGAGCCACCGATTAATCAACCAGTGAATTAACAGGCTTTCACTAATACCTTCACCATGACACCACCTCACCAGTAATCTTACCTTTAACAAAAATAAGCGGGCAATCTAGCAGATGTTTTACTTGTCGGTCGACATGAGCTACCTACGAGAATACCCGATTCTCCACCGATATCGGCACAGCGCTGCTCGCTATCGCGACGGTGGCCGTTACCACCATTGCAGCTGCTGCTATCGGCTCTTTAGTTTCTCATTCGGCACGCCAATCCGCAATTAGCAAAACCTTGTATGTGTATGGTTGACGTTAATTCGTTTCGTTATGAACGAACCAATTCTTGTTTTTGTTGTAATTGATGACTCGAATCTTGACAGAAGGATTTGTGAAAGAGTCTTTTGCCAGAAGCTTTCTATTAACATTAAATTTAGGCCCTCGATCGATGTACTTTTTACCAGGTTAATGGCTCGATTAAGTCTTTTTGGTGTAATGAGGTTAATACTGCTCTAATAAAGTTCTTTTGAGGGCTATAGTGTACTATTAAGGTCATATAAGACCCAAGTTTGCAGCAGGGTCGTATTTTTCGAGATTTGTTAATGCTAAGTATTAACTCCAGACATTTACATAAATCGTTTGGTGAATGCTCTAATTTATATCATTTCTTCTTTCATTTCAGTTATCAACGTACTTCGAATGAAGCCTTGGAATTATCTTCAATCAAACCGACACACTCGACATCATTCAATAGCACGGCTCAAAACCGAGAACTTATGTTCAAAAAAGCTGGTATAAAATTATAAAAGCATAACAATAAAGTCAGCTAACAAACCAATTAATTCAAGCCAAAATCAAATAAGCGACAAAAACAAAAATGTATCCGAAAAACCTGCAAAATAGGCCAAAAGGCACACCAGCTTGCTCACGATACCGGTGTCATACAAGCAATAGATGCATGCATACTTTAACCCTATTCCTCAGTTGTCTGTGCGCTCTTGCCGCGCTAGTGACGCCCGCTTATGCACTGGCCAACTGTCCGAGTAGTTGTCAGTGTGATGACGATACGCTGGTGGTGCGTTGCGGCGAAGGTACACTCGATGTGTTACCCATCACACTAAATCCCTTCATACAGCGTCTGGTGATACAAAGCAACAAAATCAAAACGATCGATTCATCGCTGCAGTTCTATGCAGAGTTGCTGTTTCTCGATCTTTCCTACAACGATTTGGTCACATTGCCACAACGTACATTCCAGTTTCAACGCAAACTCCAAGAGCTACATCTAAATCACAACAAGATCGGACAAATCAGCAATATGACCTTTGTGGGCTTAACCGTATTGACGGTGCTTAACTTGCGTGGCAATCTGCTGGCAGAGCTCGAGCAGGGCACTTTTGCGAAAATGTCAAAAATAGAGGAACTAAATTTGGGACAGAACCGCATCAATCGCATCGATCCGCATGCCTTCGATGGTTTGGTGAATCTGCGTACACTTTACTTGGATGATAATACATTGACTACAGTGCCAGCGCCCAGCATTTTCAAAGCAATGCCAAACTTAGCTGAACTCTATTTGGGTACAAATTCTTTTACGTCCATACAAGCCAATGCCTTTATCGATCTAAAGGGCTTGACACGTTTGGATTTGCGTGGTGCTGGGCTGCACAATATTTCTGCTGAGGCCTTGAAGGGGCCGGACGGTTTGCGATACCTGGATCTGGCTGATAATCGCTTACAGGTGGTGCCTACCAATGCGCTTAGCCACTTAGAGCGGTTAGAAGAGCTACTACTCGGGCAAAACGATTTTGAGGTGATTGGCAGCGGCGCCTTTGCTGGCCTTAAGCAGTTACGCAAGCTTGAAATCACAGGTGCTCAGCGGCTGCGAAGCGTACAAAATGGCGCCTTCAATGCCAACACCAACCTCGAACACTTGAATCTCTCATCCAATAAAATGTTGCAAGAAGTGCAGGAAAATGCATTAGGTGGGCTGCCACACTTGCGTCACGTCATACTCAAGGAAAACGATCTGCGCACCCTAGCTGAGGGCCTAGTACCTTGGTCCGATCTGCAAACACTCGATCTCTCCGACAACCCCATTGTGTGCGACTGTCAAGTGCTCTGGCTACGCAATCTGCTCGTGTCGAAGAACTCGTCTAATGATAAGTTGGTCGGGGTAATGTGCGCCTACCCGGAGCCCATGCGTAAGGAACCGCTCTCGCAGCTCTCGCCCGCCATGCTCGGCTGCTCGCACAGCGATTCAAAGCAGCAGGCGCTGATTGTTGTGGTTGTCGTCGTCTCCACTGCCACCATAACTGGGCTATCGCTGCTAATTTACGGCTGCCGGCGCCGCATCCGCGAAACGCTCAAAGGCGGCTGGGGCAATTCAGCGTTGGGTCGCAAGGAACGCGAATATCAAAAAACCTGCTCCGACGAGGAGTACATGACACGGCAGCAGCATTCCTGCAGCCTGAGTATACAGCCAACGATCCCATACACCAGCAGCAGCGGTTACAATATGCACCAGACGCAGCCGTATATGGGCTCACGGCCCATACCCGTCACCGAACTATAGCTAGAAGCACCACCCCCACCTCCACATCGAGGTTGGGGTACCTCGACGGCTTCGGTGAATACAAGCAATGGTTCAACAACGACCACCACTAACACCCTACAACAATTGCAAGTACCGAACGGTGTGCACGCCAATGGTGCGCTACCCGCCGAACTACAATCGCCCTTCGTGCAGCTCAGCCAAATACACATGATGACCAACAACAACACCACCAGCCTCATCAACAGCAATTCAAACAACAAGCTGCCAAATGGTAAGCCACCACCACCGCCACCACACGCGCATGCGCTCTCCTCGTTGCCACGCTTTGGCAGCACCACAAGCAGCACACGTCGTGAACCGTCAGCCAGCGTCAGCGCCGAAAGCTCACTTTCAAACGAGCCACCCTACAGCCAGCAACTTGCCAATCAGAATGGACAACGCGCCACCACCAACGCCGATCGTTACATACGCCTCACACAGGATCATTTCAATCACAACAATGGCCCATACGGCAGCATTGGCAGCGGCGGAAAACATGGCAATCATGCCAATACGCTAGGAGCTGAACGTTCGCCACGTGAAAGTGAAAGTAACTACATACACAATAATTCACATTATTCGCTGCCGTTGGATCATGCGCTCACAGCTACTACAGCAACGCCACCGCCACCACCACCGCCAGCGTTGCCCATGCGCAATGGACAGCTAATTAATAACAACTGCAACGGCACTGGCGCACAGCGGCAAGCAGCATACAATAACAACAGCTGCAGTAATGGTTATGCTACGATAGGTGGAGGAGGCGGCAGCAATCATTTTGGCGGCGGCGGTGGTGGTGGTGTTGTGGCAATTGGAGTTGGCGGCGGAAATAATAACAACAACAATGGTAGTTTACGACGCTGTCACTGATATACGCTCAAGGGCGATTGGTGTGGCACAAGCCGCAGCGCCTATTACGAGAAATTCGATTATGCATACGAACATCCGGCTGCGACGGCGAATAGGAACAGCTTCGAGATGTGCACGTTTGTGAGGCCATAAAGGGTGGGGAGGGTGGATAGAAGAGTAGGAGGGGAGAGTTGAGAGGAAGAGAAGGAGAGCAAGAGAGTTACTGAGGACTAACGAGCAAGAGACTAACAATAAAGAAAGTTTGAATAGACCCGAAAACTATAAGAAAAAGTAGCAGCCAAAGTAGTAAAGCGTAAAGTGTGGTATAGTGAAAAACTCGTAATATTTACCAGGCTTTCAGTAGGAGCTATAATAAAAGTCTAGAAGACTCAGAAAAATATTTTACTACTGGCTCTCAAGCCGACTACTGGGACTAGGTATAGAAAAATATCGCAAAAGTTGAGGTTTAGCCGGATACATAGACTAATACACTGTCGAGAAATTGAATGGTCTTTGCGCAAAAACAGGGAAATATGAGCTAATGGCGTAAATCTTTACTGCGTAGAAAGTAATTTTCCGCTTATTTTGTATGGGCGCATCAGAAACTATCTCCTTTACAATATTTTCAAGTGATATCCGTAAGCAGTTTCGGTCAGACTTTAAAAAAGCTTTTGGGTGAGAGACTTTCTATAAGTCCGATAATGATTAAACCCTTGAGCGCTTTGAGGAGAACATTCTGACCACAGTGAGACAGGGCACTTTTGTGAACTGATAAAATAATAAAATAGTTTGTACAGAAACAAGTTGGCATTCAGACGAAGGAAAGAAAAAAAAACGTTTATTCAATATTTTTTACGATTTGCTTATAACTGAGAGTGCATTCACACATAAAGCCGAGCGGCGCCGAGCGAAGCAAAGTGGAATATGGCTAAGCTGTTGGTGCTCACACTGAACGAAGTTTTTCTGATGGACTCGGCTGCAATGATGCCACAAAAATGGCCCTCAATGAAAAGCGTAAAAGTATTTGCTCAATTTTATTCAAAATATTGGTTGTAAAATTTGTTTTTCTTGGAATATTTTGATCTCATTTTTGCATCAGCGTTAAAATCAAAACTGCTCAAAAACGGTTCTGAAAAAGCTTGCTGTATGAGCACTGTCATATAGCTAAAGCAATTTGAAAGCTTCACTCATCTCGAAACGGCTCGCTTGCTGTGTGAACGTACCCTTAGAAACTGAAACTGGGCATACAGAGTAAAAGATCTCTCTGTTGGCCTCTGATATAAAATCCGTAGAAATAAATTCAACAGCTTTCTTCGCCCTAGTTGCTCTGCTACATTACTTGCTCTGAGTTTTACATTACCTATTAGTATTTTATAGCGTTTTATTTTCTACGCATAAGTTTTGGCCTTTTATATAGGTAGTCTTGCTTTGCATTGCCCTGAACCCTAAGAAAATGTTCCGCTCTTTATATGAGAATGAAACAAAAAATATGATACTCCATCACAAGTTCATTTATAGAACTTAATAGAACTCAATTTTTCACTTGCACTGTGGGTATTTAATTAATTTCATAGGAAAGCCCTTATTTCGGATACGAAAAACTATTTTATTTTTACAAGCGTAAATTAAAAATTAACCGTTCAACTCTCACCCTCGCCCGGATCAAAAGAACACTACGCCCTGTGAAAGAGCTGAGAAAAGAACATGAAAATTTGACAGCACTTACTCAGGGCAGAATAAGTGCAGCCTTTTTTTCGAGAAAGTAAAACGCGATTAGTATCTACGCATTTCATGTTACGACCATCTTAAAACTATGATCACATATCAAAATTATCTCAATCAAATTTCGTTTTTTATTCACCCCGTTTACACAGGCAAATCTCAGATTATTAGCCGTCAAATTTGTTGTGCTCACATCTCAAGGAAAAGTTATGTTTCTTCTCTGTGCCGCCGTGATCACTTTTGTCTGCTATATTAAGCACCTTAAATATACTTGAACTTTGTATTTTATTAAAAATTCCTTTACAAACCTCTCTTCCTTGCTAGCGTCCATTTTTGTTTACTTTTACATCTGGCATTTCTCCTCTTCTTCGCAAAAATAATCGATAAAACTTGGTTGAACACTGAAAAGTTATCTGTTAAATCTGAGATTATTTTGTAATTACAAATTAACAAGGGACGAATTTTGTATGGCAAATCTCTTTTGCTAATTACAGATTAGGGTGTTAAGCTCGAAAATGAGGATAATCTACTTATATGTGAACCTAGTATAATACAGACATGTTTGAAGTTTTGACTTAATTCTTGCGCTCATATCGAATTTAGAGCTTTGCTGGGCTTCGAGATTTATAGTAGAATTTTATGATAAATATTTTTGTGACACATTTTAACCACGTTTTATATGTAAGTTTTAAGCTTTGCCCCGAAGAGAGAAAAAAGGCACATCTACTGAGTAGTTAGAGGGTTAAAATGTTCCAAAAAAATTCTGTATCTAAAATATAAGCATTACAAGTCTTTCTATGCCAATTCATCATAAAGTTGTGTAGGTTTAGAAGTTTTTGCGATAGTAACTACATTTTTTGGACTGTCAAAAAAGTTTATGACTTGAATGCAAATAATACCTTAGCAAACACTTTCCGTTTTACATGCAAAAATTTCTTCTTTGAAATTCTTCTTTTTGTATGGCACTTTAACTTCCTAGGCGAGTTTGGCCCAGCTCAGTAAACCATGCCTGTCGTTTTTCTTCTGTGCCAACTGACGCTAATTGGGAAGGCGCCAAGTACTTCTCCACTTGGTCTTTCCAACGCAGAGAAGATCCAACGTCTGCGGTGGCGTTTGCATAAGACTTAATGCATACACCACCACATTTGAATAGCTCAGCTGGCAGGCAGTCAGCTCCCGTGGCTTTGTTTCTTTTTTGTGTTTTTTTTTCAGCCGCGGAGTTGCTTCTCGTACCTCGCCATAGCCGGGTGGCGGTACTTCGTCTCCGTCTTCTTCGACAGGGTGCTCGAGTTCAGCTCCTTGGCTGGTTTCAGCGTTATTACCACTCAAAATGGTGGAAAAATATTTCCTCCATAATTTAAGCATGCTCTGAACATCGGAAAATATGTAGGTCACCGTAATTGTTCTTACAGAAATATTAACTGGTCTCGGAAGTCGCCTAACTTTTCTTTAGAAGTGTTTTTAAAATTTCTAAATTAATTAAGAATTGCTCCCAAAAATCTACACTAAATTATGTCAACTAAAAATTGTGGCTCGTTTGTGGGTGAACACATTTTCAGTTCGCCCCATACCATAAATTATATTTGCTATTACCCAGAATACCGACCACTGAGATAATGCATAAACTTTTTTCGTAATTTTTCATTCTTCGAATTATATGTGAAAAAATATTTCCAGTAGCGAAAACCCTCTCTTAAATTGAATTAAATTCAATTCCGTCGCAGCCGATTTTCGTCGTACGCGGTTCCGTGTGCGTTAACCCTTATGGCTTTGCTATCGATTTCCGTAACAAAAAAAGTAGGCAACTGTTTTCGTGATTAGTTTACGTGTTAAAAAAAACGTTAACTTGTAATTTTTCAAAAGCAGCTTTAGATTATTGTAATTTTATGATTAATTTATATATATATATAATTACATATGTATGTATGTACTTTGTATTAGCTTTAAAGCTTAACAAAAAACGATTCGAAATGTCCGCACATGTATATACATAAGTACGTAGTAGTGTATACATGTGGCTAGGAAAGTGGGTCTCCATTAAAGACTTTTTTTTGCACATATACATACATATGTACATGCATGCATATCCGCTCGTGTATGTAGGTATGTGTATATTTATATGTACGTGTATGTAAGCGCTGTAAATTTTACTTGCAAAACTCGGAAAAATACGTGTATTCAGCAAAAGCATTTTTTGTAAAAAAAAAACAATTAATTTGTAAATTTTTTAAACCTGTGTTAAATAATTATAAATAAAATTGGTTTTCATTTGTAAATAAAATAAATATAAATAATTACAATGTAATGTAGTAAAAACGTAAATGGAAAAGCACAAACACCAACAACACAAAAGCACGAGTGACAAAAAAAAAACGAAAAAATAAAAACATAATAATCATGCGTTAATTGTGAAAAAAGCAGCAGCAATTAAAATTTTTCTTGCATAAAATTAATTATAAAAATTGCTACTTTACAATGCTAAGCCCAAGTAGGCAAGCGTAAATGGAATATACATAATACAAACAAATAAAATAAATTTCCACTTCGGTCCGGTTAATGTTGCTTTTCGATTATTTTATTTATTTACTCTTACATATGTATGTATATTATGTGCGTGTTTGTGTGCCGTAAATGTAGTCGAAAAAAGACAGACAAAAATATGCGACAATTGTTTTCCAGTGATCTTAATGTTAAGTTCGAAACTAATTATTTGTACATATTAAAAATATAAAAAAAAAATAACATAATAATTTAAACATTAAGTTGGACATAAATTATAAAGAAACAAAATACGAGAATAAATAAAAAATAAAAATTTTAATATCAAATTAAAATTACTAAAAAAAAAATCAAAATGTATGTTAGCAATTAAAATATTTAAATCAAATAAAACATTGATATTGCATACACATATTTGCGTATATTAAAATAAAAAAGCAATACTTGTACGAAATACTATACAAAAGCAAATGACACAAAAACCAACAAACAAAAAACCGAAAACTGAAAACAAAACTTAGTTTACAAACTGCATACAATTCAAGAAATTTAATAATTACATGTACGTATGTACATATATTCAACACTTTTCGATAATATTGTATTACAAACAAGAAGCTAAACAAATATCATAAAAAATTATTGACTATTGCATTAAGTATTTTGCGAAAATTCCAAGCGTAAATGATAGTCAACACAGTCAAAACAAAAAAAAAAAAAAAATAACAAAAAAAACTTTATTAAAAATATTTCCTTTTTTGTTGTATACAGCTGATTAGTTTACTTAATTTTAATTAATTATTGTTTTACGTGCGCCTATTTTTATTTTAAATGTATTTATTACAATTTTATTCTGAAATAAAACACACACCAACACTATATATACATACTTAAAAGAGGTAAAAACAACATAAAACTGCTTTGTTCTCATTTCATTTTGGTTTAATATGGTATTGTTTTCAAATTGGTAAGTTCACAGAATAATTGGCTAATACTTTTAATCTTTTGCTCAAACGTCGCTTCGCACAGCTGAATATGTGTAGTTTAGGTTAGGTTGCAGTGGCTGTCAGTGACCGCAATAGCACACCTAGGCCTTTGTGCTAGCACACGGAACGTTAGAAGCCTCCTACTCAACGTATCGTGTGGAGTCTGCGCAACCCAAAAGTTGCCGTATTCCTGCTTCGGCTATGTCGATTAAACCTTCGAGAAATTCTAAACTAAGTCTTTGTTTGCCAAGTGTGGGATATTTGCGTACCAAGTGCCGCACAGTTTCTGGACTAAGCACCCTCTCTTCAGCTTTCTCTAGCTTTGTATTGCTGCAAGTGGTAAGACGAATGCACCTGGCTCTTTTAGTATAAGAGATAAATCCCATGCATAAAACCATTCCAGCATAAAACCGTTGCCTGTTATGTTCTGCTGCTCCGACACACATGCCAAGTGAAGGGCCATATTGCTCAGCCATCTCGTTTAGAGATCTGCGGCAGTCCGCTATGGTTCTTGAACTACATGTGTCCGAGTCAAGCGGTTTGAGTACCGCCTGGCTGTCAAAGAAGATGAGAATATGACAGCGACTTTAGCTGGAAAAACTCAGCAATCGTCGGTTAGGAGCAAGGATTTATCCAACCCCATCTGGGCTGAGAAGATCCCCGCTCCTACATTGCTCTTTAGTTTAGAGCCATCGGTTTAGAAGTGGAGTGATCACAGTTTATCAGCAGCCTTTCCTGACCAAAAGTATCCATTTGAAATAGACTTAGTACACAGTAGTCCATGCACGTTAAGATGATGTTTTTGGTATTGCGGTGTGACCGTTTTTGAGTATCTCTGCAGCCGAGTAGCTCCCGTAGGCTCGAAGTGGCGCACCGTGCTGATTGTTTTCCAACAATTTAAATTGGTAAAATTTTGAGTAAAGTGTACATTGCTTCCGCTGATATTCTTGAATGCTCAAAGAGGCTGATACAGTTTTCTTAAAGCCCCGCAGTTTATTCTTCCGCAAAGGTGTAGGAAAAGGAGGTCATCAGAATCCACGGGAATTGGTTTCGAGAATGGAAACGGGCAAAGGAAGCGTTGTGAAATCATGGGGGAAAGGTGTGTCTGAAAAATTGTGTTATGAAAGCCACTTCATTACTACAAGTTGCTTCTGGAGAACAAGAAGGTGTCATGTCTCAACGCTGCGATCACACTAAACATTTAAGCGAACTTTTTTTTATGCAGAGCTGGAACTATCACTTAGAAGTGAACTCGATAGAAGCGCTAAGACTCAACCTGCAAAAATATGGGAAATTCTGAGCTCTTTTTCGATTCAGAATACATAGAATCCAGTGATAAATATCATCAAAAGCGCCAAAAACGCTAACCATTTAGTCCGGACCAAGTCCTGCAGACATTTTCTGATATCATTGCTGCCAAGATTATTAATAGAGTAAATATAGCTGAACATTATAGTATTATTTTGAATGAAACAATGGCAGTTTCAGACACTGAAAAACTTTCACTATGTGTACTATACGTCGGTATCTTACAGGATTCATATTACAGCGATATCAAAACCGTCGTCTTAATATGACCAGCACGCTTGTTTCAAGGATATGATGGAACCGCAAACATGGAGTGGAGGATCAAAGGAAAATTTGCAAAAGAAAAATATATTCGCTGTAAGACATCGTTTGAACCTTGAAATGTAAATTCCTTTGATACGAAACTGTCTCGGGGACGTCAGTTAAGTAACTAAACTGTTCACGAACACTACATGTTTTTTTTTTTAACAATATCGTATTACTCGTCACGTAAAAACAGGTCACGTATGGGTACGGTGACATCCGTCCTTTATTATCTATATGCGACAGTCCTCTTGTTTGACCAATAGTCCTGGCAATTAATTTATTTTATACGGGACGTCAAATGTTCTCTACTTCTTTTAATGTCCTGTATTTGCTCGGTATTTCGACGCCTTAAAAGCTCATTAAAATGGCATACCTATGAACCAGTCTGAATGCCTGCACTCTAAAAAATTGGTTTAAAAATGCAACTATAAATCGAGTATATTTTTGTTTATTTTTTTAATTTTTTGGTAAATTTACAAGATGAATATGTTTTCTCGTTTATACATTTTCGTGTGTAAAAATGCTTTTTGTTAGCGGCTTTACACAATTCTACGGGTTAAAACAAACAGCAAATGTGTATTTTGTAGCTTGTTAGCAAAATATAAATTAGGACTCTACATTTTAGCAAGGTTCGGCTATTTTGCTTTTGTTTATCTAATGTTTATTATTTTTTAGTAAAACTCTTTTCCTAACAAATACCATTTAAATCGAATTTTCCGACTTTTCGCAAAAACTATGAGAATTAATTCTAAAAATGTTCACCAAAATTTCAAACTTTTTAATGAGAGCCTTTAGAAAATAATTGTTTGCAGTTTTGTAGCTCATTAAAATTTAGTATTATAAAGAGCAAGTGCAACGCGCTGCTCAATTTTTCCCCTATCAACAAATTGTCATTCATACTAACTTTGTATGATAAAATTTCCAAAAACTAACGGTAAGTCCTAGCTACTTAAAACTTGCACTTTATTGTACTAAAATTTAACGAAGCTTTTGTAAAAAAATTTTTGGAGAAAAAATTTCGAGGCAAGATATACTACAAATTTCTGATGTTACTATAAGGATGCTGTTTCAGGGCTAATACGTACATCTAAGATCATTTAAGTAGGTGATCTGTTAGCTTTTATGGAAAAAATTTGCAAAATTATTGTTTGTCCCGTATTCGGCGCGCATAAATGTGGTCACCGTACGTATGAGATACGTGAACGAACTCTTTATCCCATTTAGCTTATTCGAGTGACGTATCACGAATGTTGCGATTCGAGTCCTGTTCGGCTTGACTATATATCTTGATATTTTTTTTTGCTATCAATCGCACTAAGGAAATAGTTAATCCTCTGTGCCAAATACGAACCGCAGCTGATTATTTTACGCGATTTTGCATCCCAGTATTCTGAGGATTTATTTGTAGTTGAACTCAAGGGTCCAAGGGTGATATTACGTCCAAAAAATCTGTACAAATTCACTTCATCTGCTGAAGAATATTCCTCTGAGATAATTTTATTGCTACTAAATATATTTATTCCGTGCATCGACGCTTTGATACCGAATTTTACTGCGATATTTCTCTAAAACGAAGATACTCCAGTTACACACCTTTTAGTTGAAAAAGTTGCATTTATGATCGAATTTCGTTGTCAACGGTTAAATACTAACTATGGTGTGAAATAATATAAACGAACCCTGTACCGAAGTTTTAAATCTGTAGGAAAAACTTTCATAACAAATACAACAGTTGGAAAACCTTGGGAAACTAAACCATTTTCAAAAAAAAAACACTCCTAGTTAGGATTGATTATACATCCTTTTCTATTCCAGATCTAATTCTTGTCAAAGTAAGTAGTAAGGTTTAGACAAGGATCATAAACATGACGTCCTCAAGAGCAATCCCTAAGGGGTTTGTATTGAAGAGATCCATCGATATGTACTCTATCTAGAGTGCTCGAAATATCAAAGACCAATTCAGAAAGGCTGTCCCCGCCCTAAAGACCTTCAGGTGGCAAATGAAGAATGCATTGTGAGAAAAAGAATTATGATTCCTTAGTCTCCGCTCAACAAACACATATCTACAACCAAGGTAAATATCAGTTTCTAGTCTTCTAACCAGGTTCC